TCATAGATGGCGGCAACCTTTCCAGCTATCAGAGAAAAACAGCACGCAAAACAGACGAGGACGAGGAAATACACGTCACGAGAGCAGCGCACGTCAGCTGTGTTTTTTTCTTCGTCCTCCTCTGTGTTTTTGCGCGCTGTTCCCTACGCTCTTAACATTTTCAGTTTGGACTCACGATGGGTGTGCCGCGCGCCCTTTCTTTGGAGGAAGAAGATTGGGTGCGGAAGGAGCGGCGACATACGCAGCAGAGCAACCGACGCGTGCGTCGAGCGCTTCAGATTCCCTTGCGAAAGAAGAGCAGACCGCTCGCCTGGAAAGCCACCGCCGAGAACAGGAGCTACCAGCTCCGCTGCTCTTCCTTCTTCACCAGAGTGGAAAGGCTGAAAGTTTTTCGTTTCCACCAGTCCCTTCATTTGCACAAGCTATCAGAGATCGAGGTGCTTTCAAAGACACGAAAGACCGACACTACAACCTATTGTCCTACCAGCCCTTGCTGAAGAATATGAAGATCGACCGTATGCACAAGTTCCCGTTTCTCAAGAACGGTTTGACAATCGTGTGGAGTTGTCTGTGGTTGAGGCACTACAGTCATATACTAACAGCTGTCATATACTAACAGGGAAACACTAAATAACTACAAACTAACGTAAAAGTAACGTTTCTTAGTAATGGCAAATAAGGACACCGGTATATCGTTGCATTCGCAAAATGGTAATGAAGCTCTGTAACGCGTTAGCTTTTCTCCAAGCTAACGAGTAACCCTATATCGTTACTTATTTTCGGTAATGAACACAACACTGCCAGGAAGACACTTGCTGTTCAGGCGAAGCCAAAGTCCGATAATAGCAGAAGGCTCACTGTAGCGCGAACGTTATCGCCGGCACGGCCCTTGAGTGACGCAGACAGGCCCGCGCAAAGAAGCGCCATGAACTGCATGAAGAAGCGAAGGGGATTAGACGACTGCATTGCTGGTACATTCACATGCCCACTGAAGGTTAAAGGAGGCTGCCAGTTGCTTTTAACTTGCGCCAAGTGTGATGTCGATGCGGATGCAGATGATTGAGCCGCCATTGCCGAACTTCTGTTTTCTTACTGAGATATCGAGCAGTTGAAGCGGGCGTTGACGAGCCTCCACGAAGGCCTATGTTGGAGAGAAGGACACAATAGCACCTAAAGGAGCAATGATTAACCTGTCTGCATGCTGCGGCAATGATGAAGTGAAGCGAACGGAATAAGAGGGAACAAAAACGGGAGGTCGGTTATGGCGGCGAACATCCACAACAGCCTGAAAGCGTCTATTAGCGCCGAGATGTTTCGGTGGCGCCCTCTTATGGTTTCCCTCCGTGACGTCACGACTGGGATTTGCCTCGCCGTGACGTCACCAGTGGTTATTCTGGCTACTTACCATCGGCTGCAACGACGAGTTCGATGGTGTGTTTAAAAAGCACAGTAGAAGCTAGGAGCCACCGCAATCCGAAACTTACACCGTCAAAGTTGACAATCTGACAGTGCTCATATGCCCATGGTTTGGCCAATCGTGGAAAGCTGACCACAGCGACGCTTTTGGACGCGCACATCGCCAATAGGGAGTATTCACTGGATGTCATATTTGTGGGTACTGTTTAGAGTGCATGCTCAGAACGAGCTCACATCAATAGGCCGCTAAGACCGCGGCACTCTTGATGGTGCGGAATGCACGTTGCAAGAGAACTGTGGAAGCTCGCCATCAGCACGCGCTCAGCATTCGCGCAGACAGCTATGGCCGCCAGTGAATACTCCCTATAAGACAATCGAAAGTGCCAGACCATAGCCTCCTCTATACTCACAAAGCCTGGCAGTCCGACGACAGACCCATATACAGTGCCCGGTCGCAGATTTGGAGCGCAAGGATATGGTAGCACAGAGCACCAAAGAGTCTGTAGTGGACCGCGTTTACGCTTGCGTGGATGTGCGACGCGAAGAGCATGGACAAAGAGACGACATCTTTGGGCCAGTACGAAAATATATTAAAGCGTTAAACACTAGAGAATGAGAAAATTCAAAAAAATTAATTATGGGAAAATCTAGCACTTAAAGGGTAATTAAAGAGGAGTACTTCACATAGTCCGTGAAGCGGGTCTGAGTTCTGATCATGGTTGGCACGCCGAAGTCTTGATGCCAGGTAGATTGGCGCGTTGGGGCTGGGTAGTGGACGACGGGGTGGCTTGAAGAGTGTGGCCTGAAGTAGCGGCAGGGCAGCCTCGGAGGCCCGCTGACCAGGCCTGTGTTTGTGGACGACGAACTGAAGCCGTGCCGACCACGCCTATCGTTGCGGGTCGGTTTTTTCGTCCACCAGATCCTGCTCGCTTGTCCTGTTCGGTCACCTCCAGGCTTCCCTCCACTTCTTCTTTTTCCACCCCTCGCCACTCGCGCCAAATTTTCTCCGTGCACACAAACACACAGTAAACCAGCCACATCAGCATTCCTTTTCGTCGTCGTCCTCTTTTTTCTTCTACATTGAAGTCCGAAATCACCACAATTACCCCTCACTTAAGAGCGTTGTTTCGGTAAAACAATGTCTACAACATGACAAAAAAAAAAAAAAAAAAAAACTTGTCCACAAATTATATTACAGTTTTACACATTTGACACTTGGTTCGTTCAAACTTTTGGTTTCTCCCACACAAAAACATATGCAAAGTAATTGATTCAACAACCTTGTCATACGCACGTTACACTCATAAGAAAAAAAAACTGTTTTGACTATTGTAGACAATGCATCGCTACAAAGAAGAATAATAAAGTTGAAATTCTTATTTAACAGACATGCGACTCATATAATCGGCGCCCACATTTTCACAGCCCTTGATATATTCGACTGTAAAGTCGTACTCCATGAGCGTCAAGCTCCAACGTAGCACACGGCTGTTGAGGTGCTTTGCAGAGTTTATGTACAATAAAGGCTGATGGTCGCTTTGCAGAATGAATGGTTTCCCGTACAAGTACACATGAAATTTTTTAACAGCCCATATCAGTGCCAGGCCTTCTCGCTCTATCGTTGAATAGCCGGCTTCACGAGGTAGCAGTTTACGACTCGCGCAAGCTACAGGATGGAGTATTCCATTATGCCGCTGCATGAGAACCGCCCCCACGCTTGTGGATGACGCATCCGTACTAAGCAAGAAAGATTCAGAAAAGTCTGGTGCCCTTAAGATGGGTCGGCTCGACAGTACTTCTTTCAGTTTCTCAAAAGCGTGTTGTTCCTTTCTCCCCCAACTCACTTTGTTCGGGGCCCTTTTTCGTGTCAACTCCGTTAGCGGTTGTGAAATTTCAGAGTATTGCGGAACGAAATCTCTGTAGTAGCCTGTCAGGCCAAGAAACGAGCGGACGTCCTTTTTTGTCTCGGGTGGCTCGGCAACTTGAATCTTTTTTAGCGTCTCGATTTGCGGTCGCAGGAGGTTATGTCCAATGATGTGACCGAGGAACTTGACTGATGCAAAGCCGACTTCGCTCTTCGTTGGCCGTATCGTCAAACCAGCATCTCTCACCCGCTGAAAGAATGACTTGAGTGTTTCCAGGTGCTCTTCCCAGTTTTCTGTGGCGATGAGGACGTCGTCAAAATAGTGGTAGATGTTTGGCAGGCCTTGGACCACCTTCCTCATGAGCCGGGTAAACACCGCCGGTGCGGTCTTGATCCCAAAAGGCATAAATCGAAACTGGAAAAGTCCCGAAGCCGTAGGGAAAGCTGTCATTTGCTTTGATCCTTCGTGCATCGGCACCTGCCAATAACCTTTCGAAAAGTCGAACTTTGAGAAGTATCGGCTGCTTCCCAACTTAGCGAACATCATGTCCACCCTTGGGATGGGTTCATTGTCGGGGACGAGGACCTTGTTCAATTGCCTGAAATCAATGCAGAGCCGCATTGATTCATCCTTTTTCCTTACCACCACTATGGGAGATTGGTACGGCGATTCGGAGGGTTCAATTATTCCCCGCTGTAACATTTCTTGGACTTCCTCCTGCACCGCTTCTTGGATAGCGAACGGTATCGGGTATTGTTGTACTCGAATAGGAATGTCGGTGGTGGTCTTCAGTTTGCACTCCACCAGGCAGGTCTTTCCTGGGACATCTGTGAAGCTTTCCTTGTGCGCAGCCAAGAGGATAGACACCTGCGCTTGTTGAGAGGCTGTTAGGTCGTTCGAGACTTTCACATCCTGGTGAGTTTCCTTCTTGTGGAGTGTCACAGAAGGTATGTCCTCTTCCTCTACTTCCTCGTGCTGGACCGCGACTGAGGCATGCTGCGGTGGTTGGTTAGAAACCGGTCTCTCTTCGTACTTTTTCAGCATGTTAATATGGAATAGACTACTTCTTGTTCCCAGATCAATGACGTAGTCGATGTCATTTCTTCTCTCCAAAACCTTGAAGGGGCCCTTCCAGGTCAGGATCAGCTTGTTGTTCTCGGAGGGGAAAAGAAGTAGAACCTTGTCTCCAACAGCTAGCTGGCGCACTCTCGTCTTCTTGTCGTAGTACTTCTTCTGTACTATCTTCGCCTTTCTGAGCTGCTCCTGTGCTATCCGGCAAGTGTCTTCTAAGCGCTGGCGGAGCTCGACCATGTAGCCGTACGAGGTCTTTGTGTTTTCGTCAAGGTGCTCTCCTGTCCAGATTTCCTTTAATATGGCCATCGGTCCTCGGACGTACCTGCCATACAGGAGATCAAATGGTGCAAACCCAACACTGGCCTGCGGCACTTCGCGATACGCGAATAGTAGTGGTGCCAAGTATCGGTCCCATCTTTTCGGGCTCTCTTGACACATTCGTCGTATCATTTGTTTTAGTGTGCCATTAAACCGTTCCACGAGGCCGTTGGCCATGGGATGATACGGCGTGGTTGGCATCTGCTTAAACGAGAGGAGACGACTAAACTCCTTCATGAGTCCGGATGTGAATGATTTGCCCCGATCGCTGATGATTTCTCTAGGAAATCCCACGCGTGAAAACATCTCGAGGAGAGCTTCCGCAATCTACTCCGTCTCGATGCTTGGTAGGGCAACTGCATCAGGATAGCGGGTCGAGTAGTCCACCATGGTTAGTACGTAACGGTTGCCCTTCTCTGAGGTTGGTGACAGTGGTCCCACGATGTCAATTGCTACCCGTTGAAAAGGCGTCTCGATCACGGGCATGTTTCCCAAAGGCACGCGGCCTACCAAGTGTTTTGGAACGGTTCTTTGGCAGATGTCGCATGATTTCACAAACCGCGTGACATCCCCTTGTACCCCTGGCCAGTAAAACTCTTCGAGCACTCGATCTGTCGTTCTTTTGATTCCTTGATGTCCAGATAGTATTCCTTCGTGTGCCATTTTTAGAACGAATGTTCGAAGGCCAGTTGGGACAACGAGTTGTTCCATTTCCTTTTGCGATGGAAGTCTGTATCGTCGAAAAAGAATCCCGTTCATCAGCACAAAGTCGATGGCGGCTGATCTTGAGGCAACCTTGCTTCCCACTGCTTCAAAGCATCTTTTGAGTGTAGCATCTTGCTTTTGCTTGGCGCTTAGCCCCGCCGGGTTGATGTCCAGTGGATTTATTTCTGCAACTGGTAGCCCAACAGTTGCCGCCGAGGTCCGCATCGTTACGACACTAGCCTGAAGCTCGCCTTTCTGCTCTCCGGAGCTCGGTGAGGAGGTCGTCCCTGTCCAAATTCGTTGGTTGCCCAAAATTTCGTCTTTTTCTTGGGGCTTTTCTTGCAGGGGAAGAAATTTCTGGTTTGCTCTCCACTTGACATCAGGAGCAGAAGCATCCCGTACGCCATCGATGTTGCCTAAGACGACATCATACGGCGGTCTTTCCATGCAGGTTGCCCTTACTGTGCCCGTGAAATAAGGAGAGTCGATGTCCACTTCCGCTTCAGGTAGGCATCGAACTGTCCGGTCGAGAAGGTAGATCGATCGACTCCTTCCTGTCAGTTTGTCATCAGGAACCAGAGATCGCTTTACGATGACCGAGTTGCATCCTGAATCACGCAGTACAATGACAGGCTGTCGTTCAAGCAGCCCTTCAGCCGTTGGCATGCCATCTGTTTGAACATCGATTCTTCGTTCATCCTGCTCTGCTTTCACATTTCTTTTAAGGGAATGAATGTCCAAACCAACTTTCCCTGGCTCATTCTGAGGCGCCAGGGAACACGATGCTTGTCCACCCGCGTCTGTCTTGTTAGGGCAAGACTCTGCTTTATGCCCGGTTTTGCGACATTTCCAGCAAACAGTCAACTTTGGGTTGGATCCTCTTGACTTGGACCAACAGTCTGCTGCACGATGACCTTGCTTGTTGCACAGAAAACAGGCGGGTCTCCCCGTTGCATCTGGAGGCTTAGAAATCTTCGCTTTCCCCAATAGCTTCGCCTCTTGGTCCTTATTTGTTCTGCCAAGATAGACTAGTCCTTGAGCCTCAAGATAATGATCGGCAGCTTCCGCCAACTTGTCAAGTCCTTGGCAGCCTCTTTCCCTTAAAAAGATGGTCAGTTTTTCGTGACATCTCTTGAGAAACTGTTCTGACACTATTTTGTCCCGGAGTGCGTCGTACACTGTAAAAAAAAATCCCGTCAAATTACGGAAATTGCCAATAAATTTTTGATGCCGGTACAATTTCCGTTGTCTTGCATAACGGTCACAGCATTACGTAGGTATTACGTGCATGACAGTAATGAGGCCCTACGGTTTTTGCCTGTAACTTGACCCGTAGAAGCATGGCAGAAAACCGTAACTCTCATGTACGTGATCCACAGATACGGGAATTGTTCCGGCATCGAAAATTAGCAGGCGTGTTGTCCGTAACTTGCGACGGCAAAAAACCGTAACGGTTAATAACTGAGCTTCACGTGATGTGCAACGACTGAAATTGTTCCGGCATCGAAAATTAGCTGGTGTGTTGTCCGTAACTTGCAGCGGCAAAAAAACGTAATTCTCAATCACCGAGCTGTACGTGATGTGCGAAAACAGGAATCGTTCCTGCATACAAAATTAGCAGGTGTGTTGTCCACACCTTGCAGCGTCGGCCACAGCCTGTTAAACTGCTAGCTGCAGTGACTTAACAAAATGGATGTCTAAGTGAACAATATAGCATTTTACTGCTTATTTATTGTTCACTGAGATATCGGTTTTGTTAAATCACTGCAGCTAACATTTTAACAGTCTCTGGCCTTGCTGCAATGTGCGGACAACACGCCAGCTAATTTTCAATGTCGGAACGATTCCCGTCGTCACTCATGATGTGCAGCTCAGTGATTGAGAGTTACAGCTTTCTGCCGCTGCAAGTTACAGACAACACGTAAACTAATTTTTGACGCGGGAACAATTCAAATTAAATATCTAATGGCCAGGGAATGTGACAAGGCTGCGGGTCCAAGTTCTTTCAGGAGTTAATGCCAGCTGCGCATCCCAGAGATTAACAGCTGCTTAAACACTGTGTTAGAAATTTCGAGGAAGTGCACACAAGATACAGTATTAAGTAAAACATGTTCATACCTTTATTCTTAAGAAATAATTAGTGGGCCATGTCCACCTTTCCTGTGAAAGGCAATCTCTAATTTTCTGAGCAATCAAGTCCATAGGAAGAATTACAGAACCTGGAAAACAAAACAAAAAATGTGGAATATGGTTAGGTTATGAACAGAATGTGATGACAGAATAAACGTCCCAATTTTCACAAACAATGAGTTACATGTAAGGGCATTGAAGGAGCCCCAGCTGAACTCTGGCGGGCACTAAACAGTGAAACCAACTTGTGACTCGTGGTATGAAACCATTTTAACAAGGGAAGTTAGAAAAATTTTTTTGAAGACAGAATTTCCGCATTCAATAAGTTACTTCAAGTTTGTTGTCACGAGCTAATTTCAGAAGTTACTGCCAGCTGTGCCTCCCAGACATAATTAAACACCGTGTTAGTGGGGTTGTGCGAGTATTCGGAATTTCGGACTGTAGTTTCAAATAATACACTATTCTATATTCGCTTTGAGAAGAACTGTGCTGTTCGTGTTTTTTGAAGTGTTGGTTGCGTGCGGCGGGCTAGTCTCGTTCAGTGCGCTTCTTACCGAGCACCGTTGCACTGCGGAGAAGCAATACCTGCGGAAGCGAGCTCCGCGGGTGTTGCTTCTCCGCAGTGCAACGGTGCTCAATAAGAAGCGCACTCAACAGGATAACCCACTACGATAAACACTTGGGAAAATAGAAATATCGCAATTGCGTGGTTGGAAGAAAAGCATACATTGAACGCGGGGTGGTGCACGTGTGCCGGCTGTATTTGAAAATAAATGGAAACTTTGTGAATGTGCATATCTACTTTGTAGTAAAAGTTTTAAAATTAAACTGACTGTTATGCAAGAGTATACTATGTTAGGCAGAGATGCCCTTACAACCTGCGTTCCTCATGCGCGATTCATTCTTTTAGAGCACAGCTCTTAGGCGCCCGTTTCCGGCTTGAGCGGCGTCGCCGTAATCGCGCTTTGCATTATGGGAAGTTTCCCATAATGACGTCACGAAGGTTACCCTCGTGAGGGTTACGAGGGTTAGGGTCACGAGGGTTATCCTCACGAGGGTCACAAGCGTTACCCTCACAAGGGTTGCGAGAATTAGTTACCCTCGAAAGGGTTACCCTCACGAGGGTCACAAGGGTTACTCTCACGAGGATCACCCTCACAAGGGTCATGAGGGTTATGAGAGTTACCCTCATGAGGGTCACCCCCCTGAAGTCCCGTGACCTGCCCCCACGAGGTCGCGCAACCTCAGGGGGTCACCTATCCCTCAGTACCCTTCCATTTTCCTCCTCAAGAGCTGCGCTCTTATCCGGTGTTACAGGGAGTCGTAAACGGCTTTCATTTTTTAACTCAAATTAACGAAAGATTATTTTATATAGCAAGATTTGTAAATTCACTCAATTGGACATTTCTATAGGATTCATTTTATGTCAAATCCTTCGTTTACTTGCCATTCCAAGACATCAGAACTTCTGAAGTCACAGTTCATAAATATAGATAGATTAAACTTCGCGTATAAACAAATTAAGTGGAACAATGTTCACAAGTTTAGCTGGGTTTTCGTCTAAGGATTATGCAGTGATAGTAAAAAGCATGGAAAAACTATTCGATATTCAAATCGAAAATATTCGGCCAATACCGCTGTTCGCTTCTAACTCAAAATCATCTATTCGCACAAGAATACGTGTTAGTAAGCAATTTCGAGGAAGTGCACGTAAGATGCAGTATGAAGTGAAACATGTTCATACCTTTATTCTTGAGAAATAGTTAGTGGGCCACGTCCAGCTTTCATTTGGAAGGCAATCTAACTTCCAGAGCAATCAAGTCCACATGGAGAACTACAGAACCTGGAAAACAAAAACAAAAAATGTGGAATGTGTTAGGTTATGAACAGAATGCGATGACATAATAAACCTCCCAATTTCAGCAAACTACGAGTTACATCTAAGCGCATTGCAGGAGCCTCATCTTAACTATGGCGAGCACTACAGTGAAACCAACTTGTAACTTATGATCCGAAACCATCTCAACAAGGGAGGTTAGAAAAATTCCTTTGAAGACAGAATTTCCACATCCAATAAAATACCTCAAGTTTGTTGTCACGAGTTAATTTCAGAAGTTACTGCCAACTGTGCCTTCCAGAGATAATTAAACACCGTGTTAGTAAGAAATTTCAAGCAAGTGCCCATAAGATGCAGTACAAAGTAAAACATGTTCATGCGTCTATTCTTAAAATAATTAGTGGGCTTGCTTTCCAGCTTTCACATGGAAAGCAATCTCTAACTTCCTGAACAATCAAGCTCATAGGGAGAACTACAGAACCTGGAAAACAAAACAAAAAATGTGGTATGTGATTAGGTTCTGAACAGAATGTGATGACAGAACGAACCTCCCATTTCCTGCTAACTATTAGTTACACATAAGCAGAGCTTGAAGTCTCCCTTAGGTTGAGGGGGGTCCCTAAAAGAAGGGAGGAGGGCGGGAGGGGGGGTTTTGACGAAATGTATTAGATGCACATAAAATAACACCCACTGCTGACTCTGTCCCCACCGTACCTGCAACCCTCGAATTGCTAATCCCCAAATGTCACATTCCTGAAAACAAGCTATTTTATTGCAAGATATGATTTTGATTTCACAAATGCTGGGGCTGTGGAGGAGGGTCCCAGACCATCCGTTAAAATCAGTGGGGGACCCCCTGAGACGACCCAGACTTTAAGCGCTGCACATAAGTGCAGTGCAGGAACCTCAGCTTAATTCTGGCAAACGTTAGACAGTGAAACCAACTTATGACTTATGCTACGAAACCATTGTAGCAAGGGAAGTTTGAAAAATGCCTTCGAAGATAAAGTTGCCGCATTCACGGAGTTTCTTCAAGCCTGCTGTCGTAAGTTAATTTCAGATGTTACTGCCAAGTGCACGTCCCAGAGATAAACAGGTGCTTGAAAACCATGTTAGTAAGAAATTTCGAGGAAGTGCACACAAGATGCAGTAGGAAGCAAAACATGTGCATACCTTCATTCTTGAAAATTAATTCATGGGTCATGTCCAGCTTTCATGGGGAAGGCAATCTTCATAACTTCCAGAGCAATCAAGTCCATATGAACAACTACAGAACCTGGAAAAAAAAATGTGGAATGTGGTTAGGGTCTGAATAGAATGCGATGACAAACTAAACCTCCCGATATTCAACCTATGAGTTACACGTAAGTGCACTGCAGGTGCCAGTGTGATTTAAGAAAGTGCACCTCCCAGAGATAAACAGGTGCTTGAACACCGTGTTAGTAAGAAATTTCGAGGAAGTGCACACAATATGCAGCAGGGAATAAAACACAAGCATACCTTTATTCCTGAGAATTAATTCGTGGGTCACGTCCAGCCTCCCTGTGGAAGGCAATCATCATAACTTCCAGAGCAATCAAGTCCATATAAACAACTACAGAACCTGAAAAAAAAAATGCGTGATGTGGTTAGGTTCTGAATAGAATGCGATGACAAACTAAACCTCCCGATATCTGCAAACTATGAGTTACACGTAAGTGCACTGCAGGTGCCAGTGTGATTTAAGAAAGCTGTAAACCCCAAATGAAACTACTTGAAAGGGGCATGGACACAGAAATGAGGCAAGTTAGAGTATTTGTTACATGACAGAACGATAGCTTATTGCATATACACTAAACAATTCAGAATATTTAAAACTCCAATAATTACAAAATTATTTTTTTTAATGTTCATCATGTTTATCTGGGGACCAGGATACCTTGACACAACTCCTACTGTGGCGACGGCAGCTCGTCGATAAACCATGTGACTCTGATTAAGACGTTAAACAATCTCTCTTTCGTTGTTCTCTACCCGCGTTCGCCACGCCACGCCTGTCCGTTACTCAGGCTCTGTACCTAAGTGACGTTGCATTCGAAGGAGCAAGCTGTGCCAGATATTCCAACTTCCCAAAAATTGGGAGGGAAAAGTGGGACAAAGGAGCTTAGTTGAGGCGAGGGACGCCTGGGCGCCTTCTGATCCATACCTGAAAGTGCATACAAGAGATCTACGAGTGGCACCGCCCCGCAGCTTGGGACTGACAAGAGACACTAAAGGGACAAGGCAGATGTCGTCACCAAGGCCTGGCTCGCTGAGTAGGTGGACCCAAGGGTCCCGCAACTAATTAGAATTTTTTGTGTGAAACTAATGCATTTTTTGATAAACTAATTTGGCAGCTTTATAGTAACATGTAATGGGCTTCGGTGACATACTTAGATTTCATTTTTTCCATTCCTGAAAAATCTAGAACCATTTGATTTCTAAAATAATACCTACAGCTGTTCTTTTGTTTTACACATACACGTAAACAATTGTTTGTGTGTACGTGAAATTAATGCTTAACCTATTTAGAATGTTGTTATTGCCACTACAAATTCTTGTTCCCCCCCAATGCATTCCACGAGTATGCCCTTAAGGTAATGAACTTGAACTTGAGCTGAAGTAACTCCCATGAAACATAGCGTGGACTTTTATGGTACTCCAACAACCAAAACAGAGCCCAAGTGATCCTACTCGTCAATATAATTAGGATAAAAATGCATGGCGACTAAAATTGTAGACTGGCTTGTTGATACATCACAAAGGAAACATAAAAAACAGGTACGGATAGAAGTGACTCGGCAAACAAAAGGATCTCTCAGTGGAGGTTGCTACCAGGAATTACAGATAAAACAAAACATAGAAGATAACTTAAATCATATGGCACCACCTACCCCCATGGATATCAGTTTGTGTATTAAACAGAGAAGAGCAAAAAAAAAAGTTGCAAGAGGAGACACCTTCAGGTGCATTGTATGGTGGGAACAATATGTGATCCACTTTTGCGTAGCCTATGCAGGTCAAGCAAAGCCCTATATCAAAGCCAGCCCTCGGTGTCGTGTGAACATTTGGCAGTACAGTTACCAGATGCGGTTGCATGACCGAGTTCAATAAGATGAGATAACTGCAGGCTATCAGGATAGAATCGCAAGGATATGTGGAAGCTGGTGAAATTTTGGCTCGTGAAAACCACAACTGCTTCCTCATCCGGTCCATCCCTTAGTTAAAAAAGGAACTTATCACCTTCAACCAATAAACAAAAGCAAGCAACCTCGGCATTCAGATAAGGTAGGTGGCACAGGGTGATTCCTTTTTGTGTAGTATGTACCATAGAAATAAACCAGAGATGCAAATGGTGAACTGTGAGCTTAGAAATAATGTGTCACTTGTCTTTTTTTGTTTTTTTGGGAATCAAATTATTTACAATCTTTCTTATCTGTGCCACTTATATATAATTGAAAATGGAGGGAACCAGATTTGTGAACATATGAAGAAAAACTATTTTCCTTGTACCGAATGACACTCCAAGTACAACTCTTAGCTACCGCAGAATACCATGCATCCGCCCATTCCACATTAAGCGCCGATATCCAAATTTTTAAGATCCGAGAAAATATGCATAGTACGTTTATACGTAAAATTGATGACCAGGCAAGCGCACATTCTCCATTTTTTCGCGATTATCTCTAAATTTTGAGTGGGCGCTTGCCTGGCATTTTACAGTAATACAGTAGCCTACAATTGAAATAAAGTAGTGTTGTATCCTGCATGCCAAAAGATACACAAAGGCTTGCCCAGTGTAATGCAGATGGACGCTGCGGGAAGCTCTTTGAGTTGAACATTGGAGATGCGTGTTACATTCTAAAAGTAAACAATGAAGCCCCCCCCCCCCCCCCCGGTTCAACTTCAAACCATATAATTATCTGAGCATGTTTCAAAGGCAAGAGAGCACAAGTGGCTAATTTTTCCATGCATTAACAGACAAAATGTAATCATCAGTGGTGAAGCTTACAAAAGAACTGCTTATAGCAGCTTCTGCAGCAAAAACATGGCTTTTGTAGCACATATTTTATTTAATTTATTTCACACTGCAAACTTAAGGACATGACGTCCCGAAACCAAGACCACACGCAACGAAAACAGCACAACCAAGCACCGGGGCAGGATACCACTAGCAGACAATAGTTGCTTGAACGACGGCAAGTTGAAGTATTCAAATAACGAACCTGCAGCAAAAAGATGTCCGAGCGTTCCTTCATGGCTGTGGTAGCGTGCCTCGAATGACTGGCGTGGGATAGCGGCTTCTGTAGAGGCATCGTAGCTGAAGACCAGTGCTGGCAGGCTCCTAATGCTCCCAACTTGAAATACACCAAGATGGGTCCCAGGAACCACTGTTTTCCCGTGGTCGGCTCGAGAACAATCAATTTCGTGGCGTCCTGTAATTCGTCCAGCATATGGGCCCCGTCACTGCTGGCGATGCTCAGAAGTATAATCTGCAGCAAAAAGATGCGTGAGCGCTTCATCACGGCTGTGGTAGCGTGTCCCCCACATCAGAGCTTTTGGAGCAGGCGATTCCGGTTTATCACATTGTAAAAAGCGATGCAAGTACTATAGAAATTCCCGCAGTTCCTCACAGTGTCATAAAAACTATTATAATTGCAATTATGATACACAATTATTCACAGGGGATAGAAAGCAAAAACACAGAACTTTGGCAATGACCTCATTGCCTTTAAAGCTTGATGCAATAACTAAATCAGTCCCATCTTCGACAACTGCAAAGCAACAAAACTATTTAAGCATAGCGAATAAACCACACGTCACAACAAGCATTTTTCCCCAAAATGAAAGTAATGGGAGGAAGATTCATACGAGTGTTCCTCAAGTAATCGGTGCCACCGAACCAATGATTGACTCCGCTCTTCCTCCCACGCAAGGCATCAATAATCGTTCCAGCCAAGGAGAAGCTACTACAAAAGGGAAACTAAGGGTTGGACACTCTTCTCGGAAAGTGGCCACTTTTTGCTTGAGCATATATTTTAATAGTGTCTTTTACATAGGCAAATATAAGCGAGTAACTTGGGGTTCCTCAATTTTATGAAAGAAAAAAATTGTTTTCGTCTATGGAAGCTCACCGTGGGACGGAAGTGGTTTGTGTACCTTAGTCCTATTTATTATCGAACGGTAATACATCATATCTACTGAAAGTATTTAATGAATCATAGCGGCCGAAGCAGGTGGCATGTCGTCATCTGCTTCCAGCCAGCATCTAATTAAGAGCCTCAAGTAAAAGTGTGTTCAACTGCTAGATCAAGGCATGTGTTCATGGGCACCATTAAATTGCAAAATTTTGCTGTTGGTTACGGGAATACGGGTAGTTTTTCAACGTAAATCCGGTTAAAAACAGATGCTTGAAGATTTTATGTGAGGAATAAAATAACACTTTTCTATAGACACCATTTTTGTTCCAATAGTTTAAGCATTTTTTACACGCAGAAAACTGTATAATCCGCCATCTTTAACGCTGCCATTAAATTGCAAACACACTCCATGGTTTAAGTTGAATGCAATCTTACTTGAGGCTCTCTAGCATCTTATGACGTCAGTGGTGCCACCCGTGGTGCCACCCGTGGTGCCACCGACGTCATGCACGCACGACCGTCGTTCGCGCGGTAGGCCTACCTCACTGATCTCTAATATAGGGGCCTGGAAGGCGCTTAGCCTAGCTCGGAGTCGGGCACGAGTGAAGCCATCGGAAGTTCGATGCTTGTCCCAGAAATCGAGTGTTTGCTGGGTTTTATAATGGATTCAGTGAATGTTTTGATTCATGCTTTCTTGCATTTTTACGTGGGTTTTAATAATCCTTTTTAGGAATCAATCTTGAGAATGAGGCTGAACTTGGGGAGTGTACACTTAATCAACTAGAATCTCAAAATTCTCAGACATGAAATGGCTTCCAAGAAGACATCTCGGGCCTGCATGAACGCGACAAGCAGGCTCTATTGTTATAACAAAAGCAAATCAAGCGCCTTGGACACTGTTTCGACCACCGCTCGTAAGAGTGGGAAAGCCTGTCAAGCGCTCACTTCCGGGACAAGCTGCTTACTTCCGGTGGCTTTATACCTGTTCGCTCAATGCGCCATCCAACCCTCTAGTGGAGATTATTGGCCCACCTCAAAACAAACTGCCATAGACAAGAACCTTTTTTACACATAAACTCACTGATCTCTATGACAATTGTTCAATCGCGCATCCCCGCTCAGCGAGTGCGGCCACCAGACGGCAATGTTGCACGTCGAAAAATTGTGTTTTTGGAGCGTTGCCGAGGCTGGCCGCAGCGTGCTGAAGACACATTTTCTACTTGTTCGTCGTCAATTCGCCAGAAAAATTTTTTTAAAACCCTGCGTAAGCCGGATACTTGCTAATGAGAACATGTGTGAGTTTTTACGGAAGCGCAGTGCCGAGAGAAAAAAGCACAACTCGTCGAAAGCAAGTTTCGACGGTCTTGCGGCATGATCAAAGCTTCCTTGGCATGCCGAAGCGCTGAGTCTCTGTGCCTTGGCACGCTAGATTTGTGAACATATGAAGAAAAACTATTTTCATTGTACCGAACGACACTCCAAGTGCAACTCTTAGCTACCGTAGAATACCATGCATCCGCCCATTCCACATGAAGTGCCGATATCCAAATTTCTAAGATCTGAGAAAATATGCACAGTACATTTATATGTAAATTTGATGACCAGGCAAGCGCCCATTCCCCCATTTTTTTCGCGATTATCTCTAAATTATGAGTGGGCGCTTGCCTGGTATTTTACGGTAATGCAGTAGCGTACAATTGAAATAAAGTAGTGTTGTATCCTGCATGCCAAAAGATGCACAAAGGCTTGCCTAGTGTGATGCAGATGGACGCTGCGGGAAGCTCGTTGAGTTGAACATTGGAGATGCGTGTTACATTCTAAAAGTAAACAATGAAGCCCCCGCACCCCCCCCCCCCCCCCCCCCAGTTCAACTTCAAACCATATAATTATCTGAGCATGTCTCAAAGGCAAGAAAGCACAAGTGGCTAATGTTTTCATGCATTAACAGACAAAATGGAATCATCAGTGCTGAAGCTTACAAAAGAACTGCTTGTAACAGCTTCTGCAGCAAAAACATGGCTTTTGTAGCACATATTTCATTTAATTTATTTCACACTGCAAACTTAAGGACATGACGTCCCGAAACCAAGACCACACGCAACGAAAACAGCACAACCAAGCACCGGGGCAGGATACCACTAGCAGACAATAGTTGCTTGAACGACGGCAAGTTGAAGTATTCAAATAACGAACCTGCAGCAAAAAGATGTCCGAGCGTTCCTTCATGGCTGTGGTAGCGTGCCTCGAATGACTGGCGTGGGATAGCGGCTTCTGTAGAGGCATCGTAGCTGAAGACCAGTGCTGGCAGGCTCCTAATGCTCCCAACTTGAAATCCACCAAGATGGGTCCCAGGAACCACTGTTTTCCCGTGGTTGGCTCGAGAACAATCAATTTCGTGGCGTCCTGTAGTTCGTCCAGCATATGGGCCCCGTCACTGCTGGCGATGCTCAGAAGTATAATCTGCAGCAAAAAGATGCGTGAATGCTTCATCACGGCTGTGATAGCGTGTCCCCCACATTTGAGCTTTTGGAGCAGAAATTACGGTTTATCACATTGTAAAAAGCGATGCAAGAACTATAGGAATTCCCGCAGTTCCTCACAGTGTCATAAAAACTATCATAACTGCAATTATGACACACAATTATTCACAGCAAAAAGAATGCTGTTGGAAATGGGGATAGAAAGCAAAAACACGGAACTTTGGCAATGACCTCATTGCCTTTAAAGCTTGATGCAATAACTAAATCAGTCCCACCTTCGACAACTGCAAAGCAACAAAACTATTTAAACATAGCGAATAAACCACACGTCAGAACAAGCATTTTTCCCTAAAATGAAAATAATGGGAGGAAGATTCATTCATACGAGTGTTTCTCAAGTAATCGGTGCCACCGAAAGAATGATTGACACCGCTCTTCCCCACACGCAAGGTATCAATAATCGTTCCAGCCAAGGAGAAGCTACTACAAAAGGGAAACTAAGGGTTGGACACACTTCTCGGAAAGTGGCCACTTTTTGCTTGAGCATATATTTTAATAGTCGCTTTTACGTAGGCAAATATAAGCGAGTAACATGTGTGAATTTTTACGGAAGCGCAGTGCCGCAAGAGAAAGGCACAACTCGTCGAAAGCAAGTTTCGACGGTCTTGCGGCATGATCAAAGCTTCCGTGGCATGCCGAAGCGCTGAGTCTCTGTGTCTTCGCACGCTAGGATACCGATCAAGAATTGGTGCCGCGAAAATGTTTTGAAGGTGTGTCGTGCAAAGATGCCTTTGCATCTTATATCGGCTAAAGAGTTCTGGAGCATCCAGATGTTCAGGCGAGTTGCTATCAATAAAGGGGGGAAAGCAATCTGTACAGTTGCTCTTATGCACTATTAACCATGGCTGTGTTCCAAATCTACTCTAATAGATCACATAGCAGCACAAATAGAGCAATGCTGTAGAGCAAGGAGGGTTTTCGAAGGCAAAAGTACAAGACGGCGAGAATGGAGATCTTTGAAGCGCGGTCCATATGGTCGTGTGCAGTCTGTTGACCAATCACAATTATTCGAGCCGTGCTCAAACGTCAAGTGAAATTAAGTAGGTTGATAATGAGACACCGCTGATCACTGATGAGGAGCTGTTGTGCGCAATATTCTCTGAACCGTCTAGCAAAAAAAAAAAAAAGAAGTACTTTCCCCCTTTCTTCCGTCGCCACTTAGTTACAAATACAGTCGTCAGAGTAAAGTAAACCGCTGCTCCAGAGGCACATACGGCTACAGCCACATTGCACTCGCAAAACACATTCACACGGTGTCGATTCTTGACCGGCATCCAAGCGTGCGAAGGCATAGAGACGCAGCGCTTCGGGGTGCCAAGGAAGCTTTGAACATGCCGCGAGACCGGCGAAACTTGCTTTCGACGAGTTGTGCCTTTTTTCTGCTGCACTGCGCTTCCGTAAACATTGTCACGTGTTTTCATTCGCAAGTCTCATATCTTACATAGTTTTAAAGAACTTCTTCGGTGAATGACGACGAACGAGTAGAAACCGTGTCTTCAGCACGCTGCCACCAGCCTCAGCAACGCTCCAAAAGCGCGCTTTCTCAACATGCAAGATTGCCGTCCGGTGGCCGCACTCGGGCTGCAGCGATCAAGCGGGGGTACGCGATCCAGCAATTGTCCTAAACATCAGTGTATAAACTAGAGAAAACACGACATGCTCTTAAATTCAGTACGCGACAGCGCTCATTATGATTATTCAATGAGCGCGCTTCAGTCTTTCATCTTAAAATCCGATTTCTCCGGTTCTTACCGCGCCCGAAAGCGAAAGGGTGACGGCGCCCGAAAGCAAAAGGTACGAACAGAAGGAGTTCGGGAGAGCCCACTCAGCCCAGAGCAAACCAAACAGTCATGGCGATGAGCCCTGCGCCTGCACACGTCGATCAAGTCGAGTCTGATGCGTGGATAGGTTTCCCTCGCGCAACTGAGTCCGGAAGCTAAAGCAAAAAATATGGCGCGTTTTCTGACTCAGCCCGCGCCATTGCGTTAAGTAACGCGTCTTTGATTCCTTCTGCACTTCGGTTATCTCGCAAGGCGCATGCGAAAATGAGCTGGCTTACCTTCTTAGTCCGGTTGAATGGTGAAAGATGATCGCGGCGACGACGAAGAGTGTTGCCGCCCTTCCCGCCCGTGGTGGTTCACGCGCGAGCGAGCATACAGACCGGGAAGTAAACATCACGTGATGGACGGCGCTCCTTGCTCGGTTGTCGTCGTCCGCGAGCTGAGTGCGCCGGCCTTTGGGTGGGTCTCCCTCCGCCGTTCGAAAGAGATTTTAGCATTGGCACGAATGGCACGTAACATGAGACATCTGCCAACAAGAAAACTATCTCTAGAGAAAACGTGGCGTGTGTTATGTGTTTTTACTTCAAAGAAAAGGGAACACAGACCTGAACTAAGAAATATGTGAAGCCGTACATTTACGGACTCGAGCCGTCATGTCGCCTCTACGGCGTTTTGTCCGTGCGCGCCTCTCACGGCGCTTTCCAGTTTTGAAAAAGGCTGTTAACTTACGGTTTTTTTTTACAGTGTAGGTACGCTCCGTTTTGGCCATTTCTTGCCAATGGTCAAAATATCCCAACAGACGACCAGTAAACTGTCTGCCTGTTTCTGCCTCCTCTGGTCTTGCCTCTCTGAACTTGGCGCGGTACCCTTCTTCCGTATACCGAAATCGTTGGAGAAGAGTCTGCTTAAGCACAGTGTAGTCTGTAGCAGCGTCAGCAGCCATGCGTCCGACTACACTTAATGCCTCCCCTGTCAAGCATAGACTCAGGGACAAGGCCCATTTATCTTGTGGCCACTCTTGGCACGTTGCCACCCGCTCGAATCGTTGGATGTAGGCGTCAAGCTCGTCGCGTTTCTCATTGAAAACGGGGATAAGCTTGTGTGGGCTCCGGTACCCCTGTACAAAGCCAGCAGGTGTACCCGCACCAGACTCGTTCGGAATTCCTTCTACTGCACTTTCTCGTCGCTCCTGTAAACGTAATTGGAGCTCCAGTACTGCACGTTCTGCTTCTAGGCGCGCACGAGTATGGTCATCCGCGTCTAAGCGAGCCCGAGCAAGGGCTTCTGCTTCTTTAGTAGCCTCGCGTTCTGCTGTACGCTGGTCCCTCTCGCGCACTCGCTCTTCATCCATCCATTGTTTCAAAGCTGCCCCAGACAACCCCAACTCCTGGCCAACCTTCATTAATTTCTCGGTATCCATTCTCAGCCGTCGCACCGATTCGCAAGGTAAAGGTCTCTAGGGTGTCAGTTAAGAGCAAGGTCCTGTCGCGGACGCCAGATATGTAGTGGACCGCGTTTACGCTTGCGTGGGTGTGCGACGCGAAGAGCATGGACAAAGAGACGACATCTTTGGGCCAGTACGAAAATATATTAAAGCGTTAAACACTAGAGAATGAGAAAATTCAAAAAAATTAATTATGGGAAAATCTAGCACTTAAAGGGTAATTAAAGAGGAGTACTTCACATAGTCCGTGAAGCGGGTCTGAGTTCTGATCATGGTTGGCACGCCGAAGTCTTGATGCCAGGTAGATTGGCGCGTTGGGGCTGGGTAGTGGACGACGGGGTGGCTTGAAGAGTGTGGCCTGAAGTAGCGGCAGGGCAGCCTCGGAGGCCCGCTGACCAGGCCTGTGTTTGTGGACGACGAACTGAAGCCGTGCCGACCACGCCTATCGTTGCGGGTCGGTTTTTTCGTCCACCAGATCCTGCTCGCTTGTCCTGTTCGGTCACCTCCAGGCTTCCCTCCACTTCTTCTTTTTCCACCCCCCGCCACTCGCGCCAAATTTTCTCCGTGCACACAAACACACAGTAAACCAGCCACATCAGCATTCCTTTTCGTCGTCGTCCTGTTTTTTCTTCTACATTGAAGTCCGAAATCACCACAGAGTCATTTCTCGGAGGACCTGGACGTCGGCACACAGTTTTTGCAGCGGCGAGGACCTGAAACACACTTCCGGGTCCTTCCGTCTCGTCGCAGTGCCTCGCGGCAGTGACGACGCGCTGCGTTTCGGTATCTCGCCGCAACGGATCGCCAGTCACCTGGCTCTGCTCTCAACCGTTGTCTACAGCTCGACCTTTTCTATTTCGGCGGCCGCTTCTCGTGGGGATCTGCCAGGCTTTGTCAGTATGGAGGAGGCTATGGCCAGACCCATGCCACCATGTCTAGGGTATGTGTCTTTCATCTCGGGGGGTAGTCACGTCAGAATATCTGGCGCGCCACGCATTCGTTTTTTTTTTGTTTTTTTTTACTTAGGAACGCGTGAAACGCCGTCTCGTGGCTCACGGTAGGCCCACGCTCTTTGCGTCTTAGCTTTAACCTGTGCTTTGACGGCATTCGAATTCTGGTAGTTTCTTTATATTTTGCTCGTGATCGTGTTCCGCACCAAGGGCAGGCACGCTTTTACTGTGTGACAGCTTAAGACGCTCAAGTGTGTACTACCCAAATCAAGTTTTATACTTCGCTTCAGCATACGTTCCGACGCAGCTGATGGTACAACCGCGGGCATCTGGCCTTGAACAGTGCTTGTACTGCAGAAGCGGGCGCGCTTGGCATGGCCACTCGAAGCCCGAAGCTCGCGCTTGTAGCATTGGCTGTGTCAAGACTTAAAGGGATACTGAACCGAAATTTCGAGCTCTCTAAACAAGGCCGGGCGGATAGGCGGGAAGCTGCAAAACCCAAAAATATCACTCATGCGGCGATATATCTAACAGATCGCCGTATTGTTTGGAAAAGAAGTGCGCGATTGAACCCGGCCGACGAGGCCGACGAGACAAGGCAGGTCACGACTACAGCGCCTTGGACTAGACTAGACACGACTACAGCGTCACGACTAGGACTACAGCGCCTTGGACGCCTCACCAGCGACAGGTGTTATCTCGTTTCGAAAGTCACTGACGTCACGTCAGCGTCGCGTTATGATTGGTTGCCGCTGTGCGGTTTCTGAAAGCGGTTGGGAGAAATCGCTCCCGAAGCGGTTGGCAAAAACGCGCTCCAACCGCTCTATCCTAGCCGCTTTGCGGTCGAGAACGCGCGGACCCGTTTCGAGTTTGCGGATCCACTTCCACTGTGAACACGCCATACGAGTGATGCTTTCGGGTTTGTAGCCCCCCGCCTAGCGCTTTCGCTTTGTTTTCGGAAATCAAAATTTCGTTTGACCGTCCCTTTAAGCTGAAACGAAGTATAACTATGGTGCCTGGAACGCGTCTTCGCAGTGATATGGATAGGTGGGCTAGTTGGTACATGTTTAACTTGTCAAGCGCCTAAAAAATAAGGACACGAGGAAGACCAGAGAGGACCAAGCGTCTTGAACTGGTGTGTTTTTAGCGTCCTATCCTGCCCTTACATCAAAAGTGGTCACGAAGTGGCAACAAATGACGTCACAGAAGTCGGAGTGTCAAGCTGTCAGATGTCGCGATCGTGGCGGTAGGTCGTAGAAATGCTAACGAGAAGCTGCGAGTAGCACAACCGAACGGGAGTGCCGCTGTCGTCATGGCGTCCCGACTTCCGGCTGCCGAAGCTTCCGTGGACTGTCACACCCGAGAGCGGTCTGCAGGGGAGCGGGCGTCTGCTACATCCACCACCGCTGCTGGAACACCGCCAAGATCCTGACCGGTGGCAGCGTGACACTTTTATGACGTCACCATGCGAAAACTGAGGGACCACTTGTTTAAACGCGGTAAACACACCAGCCGGAAACGCGTTTCAGGCGCCTTAGTATAACTAGTCCACTTTCGCAGCGCCCTCTGGGCAGCGCAGGAGGCCTATTAAATGATTAATTGATGTCCAGCGCCTGTCCCGTCTACGCCCCTCTCGTCGTTATTTGTGCGCTGTTTTCAGTTGTACCAGAATAAACACTGCCCGAGATTGGTTGAATTTCTTCCTATTATTTGCAGCATAAGGCCCACGATGGACACATCATTAAGTATTTCACGTACGGCGTTAGACCTTTGATTCACCGCAATCTAGAGAACTTAGCATCCAAAATGGTTTTAGATCCCTGTGAGGTCTTCATGAGTTTATCTAAAAGCGTTCTAAAAAAGAGCGTGGCTTGACGGCTTCTCATACCTAGTGTTGTCAGTTTTGTGACCGCAGTTGAATTGAGGGCAGGAGTGGCGCCGGTGTTCGTCATCCCCCCGTGGTGTTTCTCCCACTGTTGCCTGTCCAACCCGGCTCCTGGGAAGGGGTGAACCCTCACCCTGTCCTGGCAACCGGCGGCGTCCTATTCGCCTCTGAAAGCCGCCTGGGCAATCTCTGTTGGAAATGTACGATGGGTCCTTTTTAGATGCCCATCGGTAACATTGGTGGTCGTCATTTCTTGGGCTCGGAGCGCGTGACTGTATTCGAGTTCACGTCAAACGCTGACGCATCCCTCGCTACCAATACACGCTCATAACACCTGCTCAAACTTTGGCGAACAGCCAAGAATAGGAAGTACTCACTGGACGTCATATTTGTGGGTGCTGTTTAGAGCGCATGATCAGAACAAGCTCACATCAATAGGCTGCTAAGACCGGCACTCTTGATGGTGAGGAATGCACGTTGCAAAAGAACTGTGGAAGCTCGCCGTCAGCACGCGCTCAGCATTTGCGCACACAGCTATGGCCGCCAGTGGAATACTCCCTATAGACCGATCTCACCAGCCAGTTTGACCACGCCACCGCTGCTGCAAAGCATCGAGGGAACTTTAGTCTTTTTGCACGTGCGATACACTCTAAGAAAAAATGGAAAAAAAAAGTAGCAACGGCGAGTCTTCCTCCCTCCTACTGACGCGCCCCCAAGCGGGCTCGAGCAAAAGGGAGAAACGAAACGTTTTTCTCCTTCTCCAGGCAGACGGGAGAGAGCTTTCGCCCTCCCGACTCACCTCCTTTCGGTTTCGTTTTTCGAGCAGGTCGCGCACGTTGTTTAATAAATAGCTGTTGAGTTGATTGAGGTTCAGTGGCAGCAAAGGCCGCCTGTAATTCCGTCTTCTAGTCTAAACGTGCAGAACATTTCGGTTGCGTTGACGTTTTTATCACTAATTTTATCAAACGAGCAAACGAAGCCGCTAGAACCAGCGAAGTTACGGAGCAGTGCCAGCAGCGCCAGGTACACTGGGGGATGGCCGTCTACGGATTTCGGGACTGGCTCGGCACGGAACTACAGTAGCAAAACCACGCTGAACTGTGTCGACTTTTCCGATGTTATGGAAACCGCAGGAACTGCGTCCAAGACAGGCAGGTTTTGCTGCCGGCTGCCTGGGTGCCTTCCGTGCTGAGTTCGGTTCTGTTTTCCAATGCCGAGAGCAACCGGCGTTCAACGTGGTTCTGTGTTTGTGCGTGTCAGCAACATAGCTGCAACATCGTGATGGCAGTGTTGTGGGTTGTGAACAGAAGACTGGAATTATCGCCGATGTGACCGTGTGTTCGCGTGTCAGTGGTGTAACAAGAAGATGATATCGTAAACTGTTGGGCATTGATGCCGCTGGTCAGGCCGTGATCGGAGGGGGCGGGGTGTCGCAGGTTGACATTCTGCTTTATATTAAAAAGTTTAAAACCACTTGAGGGATTACGTGCAATCGATCAACGTGCGGATAGTCATGTTGGAACGCTGGTCTGAGCAGTAGAGGCTCCTATCGTGCAGTGGCCAACGTGACTGTCGGAATTGTCTCGTCCCCGAAAGCGATTGCGCTCTGGGGCAAGGATTGAACAGTACAAAATCGTGACGGAAAGTACGTATATTTACAGTATGGGATTTCGGCATTAAAAAACAATAGTAGGTAAAATGGAAAAAAAAGCTTCCCTTTATTTTGCTGTTTAAATATACTATGGTTCCTGGAGGAACTGCCCTCCAAGTGGCGCGCTGGGATGAGCGCTAGAAGTTTCAGGAAATAACCCCGTTTAACAACGGGGTTATTTCCTGAAAAGATGCAGGTTGCGAGAGTGGCAGTGTTGCATAAAAGGGGTGACAAAATATTCTCAGCAGCTATCGACCCCTTTCTATCCTCTCGGTATTCTCCAAAGGCCTAAAAAAATAATACATACTCGTCTAGTTCAATTTTCTGATAAGCATAACCTGCTGACTCCCGCCCAATTTGGTTTTAGGAAAGGTCGATCGACAGAATTAGCATTACTAGAGCAAAAAGAATATATTTAAAAAAATTCGATGAAAAAAAGCAGGTTCTAGGTGTATTCGTTGACTTCACGAAAGCCTTTGATTATATCAAC